GACAGTGTGCTTACTTAAACCCCTACCCCCCCCCCCCCAAACCAAAAGCCGCCATGACTGACGTCGAGCTCTCCCGCTCAGAGAAGAAGAAGAAAAAAACCAAATCACCCAAAAATGAAGACGAAACCCAAACACTCTCCACTCAAACTGACAAAAAATCTGATCTTGATGTCGATTTTCTCATCAAACCACAAAGCTACACCCCCACCATTGATACTTCACAGTGGCCCATTCTCTTGAAAAACTACGACCGTCTCAATGTACGAACTGGTCACTACACTCCTCTCCCGTCTGGGTTTTCGCCACTCAAGCGTCCACTCGCTGAATACATAAGGTACGGTATTCTCAATCTTGATAAACCTGCTAACCCATCTTCACATGAAGTTGTAGCTTGGATTAAACGGATTCTCCGGGTTGAGAAAACGGGTCACAGTGGAACTCTTGATCCTAAAGTTACTGGTAATTTGATTGTTTGCATTGATAGAGCGACCCGTTTGGTTAAATCCCAACAGGGTGCTGGTAAAGAGTATGTTTGTGTTGCTAGGTTACATGCTGATGTTCCTGATGTAGCTAAGGTTGCTAGAGCACTTGAAGCTCTTACTGGGGCTGTGTTTCAAAGACCACCTTTGATTTCTGCTGTGAAAAGACAACTTAGGATTAGGACTATTTATGAGAGTAAGTTGCTTGAGTATGATGCTGATAGGCATTTGGTTGTGTTTTGGATATCCTGTGAGGCGGGTACGTATGTTCGGACGCTTTGCGTGCATCTTGGATTGTTGTTGGGTGTGGGTGGACATATGCAGGAGTTGAGGAGAGTGAGGTCTGGGATTTTGGGTGAGAAGAATAATATGGTGACGATGCACGATGTGATGGATGCACAATGGATGTATGATAACTATAGGGATGAGACTTACTTGAGGAGGGTAATTATGCCTTTGGAGGTGGTTTTGACTAGTTATAAGAGGTTGGTGGTTAAGGATTCGGCGGTGAATGCTATTTGTTACGGTGCTAAGTTGATGATTCCCGGGCTTTTGAGGTTTGAGAATGATATCGAGGTTGGGGAGGAGGTTGTGCTGATGACTACTAAAGGAGAGGCCATCGCATTGGGGATTGCAGAAATGACCACTGCTGTTATGGCCACTTGTGATCATGGTGTGGTTGCAAAGATTAAGAGAGTGGTGATGGACAGGGATACTTATCCTAGGAAATGGGGCTTAGGGCCAAGGGCTTCGATGAAGAAGAAGTTGGTTGTTGAGGGGAAGTTGGATAAACATGGAAAGCCAAATGAGACAACTCCAGCTGAATGGTTGAGGAATGTTGTTTTGCCTACAGGAGGGGACGCTATGGTTGCTGGTCTCGCTGCTACTAATGTGAAAACTGATCCTGATGCGGTGCCTGCTGATGGTGCAGTTGGTGATGTTGAGAAGAAAAAGAAGAAGAAACATAAGGAAGATGAGGAGGAGGGTAACAAGAGAAAATCGGATGACTTAGATGCATCCCCTGCACCCAATGCTTTAAAGAAACCAAAGGTAGAGATAGTCGAGGAGAAGAAGGCTGGAGATGAAGCTGTGGAGGTTGAAGTCACAAAGAAAGAAAAGAAGAAAAAGAAGAAAGAAGCCGATGAAGCTGCAACCCCTGATGTAGAGACGGCAAAAAAGGAAAAGAAAAAGAAGGATAAAGAGAAAGATGGTGCTGCATCTTCAGATGAGGAGAAGTCTGAGAAAAAGAAGAAAAAGAAAAAGAAAGATAAAGATGCGGAGAATGGCGATGTAGCTGTTGTGAGTGATGGCGATGAAGGAAGTAAAAGCAAGAAGAAGGAGAAGAAGAAAAAGAAGAATAAAGATGCACAAGATGAGTAGAGGAGAAGGTCTTGGCCCCCTTGACCAAATCAATGCTCATATGTATGTCATATTGCATGTCATGTAGTTGTTCAAAATTTTTGCCGCTTATTCACTTGTCCGGGCAGGAGTTTGATGCAGCTGAGTTCCTGATCATAGACATGCTTATTAGTTTAATAGTTTAATCTGTGTCTTTTATTTGTTCAGACTTGTTTACTGCAATCCACAAGGCCATTTTCAGTCTTTAGTTTTGAGTCTTTTTTTATTAGCTTCTTAATAATCTGCTTTTGTATTATATGGCTCTGTGGATGTCAATAGCTGAATGACAACTACCTTTGTTTGAAGTCTGATGTCCCAGTAAAATAACTAGTTGAGGCTGGAGGAAGCTTGCAAGGTAGTAGAAAGAACCCCTCAGGGTTTGCAATGACTGCCATGAGGCAACTAAATTTATCTCAAAGATTGTGAAGAGAGAGATCGTTGTTAGGGATGTAAGGAGGTTCCATCACTTCAGAAATGGAACCTGATATAGTGTGTTTTATAGATTCTTATAGGTTTTGTTAATAGATTCTTTTAATGTCTGAACATAGGTAAATGCACCAACTGTAACTTACATTTGTTGACTGTATCATTCAGAATAACTTTTTGCAACTAAAATAGTTCTCTTACTTCCTGGCATCATTCTGATGAATATAAACGCGAAAGAAATTTTAGATGCCGAGTCTTGGACTCATTTTGCTTTTAAAGCATTTAGCAATGACTCGAATTTCGCAAGCCTGTGATATGATTGGAGTTGCTAATTGCTATGTTTGTCGCCAACTTTGTTGCACCTGAAACTCATCTATTGCAGAATGGTGCTGTCCTCAATGCACACAAATCTCCATGTTCAGAGAGTAGCCTAATGCTTTTAGCTGTTTGTCATGATTTAAAAGCAAAATGGAACCTTAAGCGGGTCTGCAAAAGGTGAAGATTATACTTATTCGTAATGTTTGGGTGATGGATCTGACTTTATGACTTCCATTCAGTTTTGATATTGGCTCAGGTATGATCGTCCGTTAATGGAAATGCACTTTATGTGGTTTTAGTGGCTCAAGTATGCAGTTTTAAGGAGCTATGAATTGACGATCATACTTGAGCCAATATAAAAAATGAGATACTTCTCATCCTTAGCATCCGAAGAATGGACTAGTGGAAATGCATGCGGAGAATGGCATTAGCGGGAACAACGTTGGTCATCCTGAGGTCCTGGTTGAGGTAATGTCACTCCCTTATTTTCTTTGTGTTAATGGTTGTTTAGTTATAGAGCTGTGGTTAGACCGGCCATGTTGTATGGGGCAGAGTGTTGGCCGGTTAAGAACTCACATATCCAGAGGATGAAGGTAGCGGAGATGAGGATGCTGAGGTGGATGTGCGGGCACACTAGGATAGACAAGATTAGGAATGAAGATATTCGGAAGAAGGTGGGTGTGGCCCCTGTGGATGACAAGATGCGGGAAGCAAGGCTCAGATGGTTCGGACACGTGCAGAGGAGAAGCCTTGATGCGCCGGTAAGGAGGTGTGAGCGGTTGGCCGTGGTGGGTACGAGAAGAGGTAGAGGGAGGCCTAAGAAGTATTGGGGAGAGGTGATCAGGCAGGATATGATACGAATGCGGATTTCCGAGGACATGGCCCTTGATAGGAAGGTCTGGAGGTCAAGCATTAGGGTTGTAGGTTAGGGGGTAGTAGAACTTTTCTTACTTCTCTCCGGGGGTGAGGCGGGGTTGGATTAGGTTTGGCCTTAGATGGCTTGCAGTTTATGTTGAATACACACTATACTTGCTGTTTATCTGAGCCCTGGGCCTGGTTACTGTTATTGCATGTCATCCATCTTTTGATTGTTATGCTTCTGTTACTATTACGATTTCTACTGGAGTTACTAATGAATTGTCTTTTCTTGTTTTTCTTATTTCCATCTTTCTGAGCCGAGGGTCTATTGGAAACAGCCTCTCTGCCCTATCGGGGTAGGAGTAAGGTCTGCGTACACATTACCCTCCCCAGACCCCACTTGGTGGGATTTTACTGGGTAGTTGTTGTTGTTGTTGTTGTTGTTATCAATAGTCATAGAAGGTATTAATCATACTATCTGCACCTCATTCAGTCGTTTAACTTGGTATTATCCTAAATGGTTAAACAGAAAGAAAAAATGTTAAAGCACAATAAGTACTCCATCTTTATTAGCAACAAAAAAAGAGAGCATATTCTCAAGGGAATTGAGAAAGTACTGTTGATTGTACTTATCTTCAACAAAGTACAGGTTTGGTTGAACTCGTTAATTATGAAAGATTAGCCCAAAATTCATCTACCAAACCTTCAATATCCTTTTGTTTCTTTTCAAACCAATGAATGCAACTTTCATGTGATCGTTTAGACATTTTCGAAACATCTCCACATAATATTTTGTACTACCATTGAATAATCGAAAGGTGTGATGGTTAAAGCATTTCGATGTAATGAATGACATTTTCTTGTTGGATTTATAGGAATGTTATTTAGTACTAGTCCATTTGGTACAATTATGGCTCTGTTGAGAGATCTTGGTTAAAGATATTTCACATGTACACAGCAAAACATGATAACATGGCCAAGTTTTTTCTGAAACAACCAACTCGATCTCTGATTTTTGACAATGGCTTTTTTCATCAAATACTCTTATATTTAGTAGATTGTAAGAGCAATATGTCGGAATTTGGATTTTACACACAATGATAGTGGTTGGTACCTACGTGTGAGTACAAAAATATAACGCCAGATTGCGTATGTGGATAAGTGAAGCCAATTGAATGTAACGTCGCAACCCAAGTCCATGACATTTATTGTCAGCTTTGGCCTAATAGACTTCACAGGTTTGCTTCTTCGACTATGTCATCATTTAGTCCAAAAGCACGAGTACCATGTGAACTTGTATTCTCTCTCATTCAATGTGAGATTCACTTAAGGTTTCATGTGCATCCCCTTTTATAAACTTGCCAGCGTAGAAGACTAATAGTCCTTCTCTTTGACCGGCCCTCGTCGATCCACCCTCTGTCATGCGCGTCAGAATCTCGGACTTAGAGCCTGTTTGACCAAGCTGCCAAAATCTGCTTATTTTGAAAAGTACTTTTTTTCAGAAGTACTTTTTCTAAAAGTACTTTTGAAAAAAAACGGATTGTGTTTGGCCAGTTCATTTAAGAAGTACTTTTTGCAACATTTGGTAAATAATTTGTGTTTGGCCAATCATTTCAAAAAGTGCTTTTGAGTGTCAAATTACCAAAAAGGATAGTACCTGGGTTGTATAATTCTTTTAAATATAGAAATAAACTTAAATATTTATCGTAAGAGACTTTTATTATTTTTTTATTTTATTTAATTAAAATATAAAACATAAAGTAAACAAACATATTCAAGATTTAAATCAATTTTGCATGTATAGTTATACTAAAGTATATGATATTATCCAGTACCATTACTTATTTTTATATGATGATTTGGATAATTCAAATAAGATCATTCAGTATAAATTAGAAGTCTATCAACAAATTACTATATATTGATAATCCATCGTGAATTAATAAGTAAAGTCACTTACACTTGATAATACTTCTCAACAATTTCATCTCTACTTCTATCACACAACGCTTTAATATTAGTACAAGACTTGCTTCGCATTTCTAAAGGAATATCAGAAGGCTGATTTCCTTCATCAATCTCTGTAGTAATGTCTTCATTAGCATAATAGTTGAATACTTTATTGGTAAAAGAACGTTGTCAGATGAAATTATGTATAGCCATGGTAGTTGCAACAAGATGATTTTGAGTCAAACTTGAAAGATGACATTGAGCATAAAATAAAAATAATTTTAAATATATAAAAAAAATCGTAAAAAAATAGTTAAGTATGTTTAAATTCTAATTCAAAAAGAGTAAGTAATTATTAACAACACATAGTGTATAATTTAATTATTTTAAAAAAATTTAAATTCAAAAAGAAACTAATAATTATTACCTAACCTTACTAACTTTGTCTAAAATACCAAGTGGCCTATTATGAGGCTGCCACTTGACTAAATATGGATGCATTTTCTTCTTCTTTTAATAATATATAGATAGATTATGCAATGCAATTGTAAATTTATTACCTATTTGTAGGTCATTTTCACAAATCAGATCTGATAACTATTTTAAAAATTTGGGAACTAATAGCATATAATAGAAGAAATTATAAATAATTATTTGTAGGAAGAGAATTGATAATCCAAAGAAGATGCAGATAATTTGCTTTAGTGTGAAAAGGAAGAAGATAATTTGGAAATTTACGAGACATTACACAAAGAAAAGATCAAAAACAAGAAAAATCAGTAAATTTTTTGAAAAGTTACAATATAATTCATATATATGATATGTTTAATTTTAATAGGATGGTAAAAGCTAGAAACAACAATGAAAAGAAAAAACTTAAATTAGTAAGGGATAATTTGAAAAATATAAATTCATGGTGAGGATAATTTTGTCTTGAATAAATTAATTTTCTACTTCTGCTTCTTCCCAAAAGCAGAAAAACTGCTTCTGCTGCTGGCAAAAAGTACTTTTCTGTATTGGCCAAACAACTCAAATTTTTTAAAAAGTACTTTTTTGAGGAAAAAAAAGTGCTTTTGGCCTCCGAGAAGCTTGGCCAAACAGGCTCTTATACAACTATTGCTGCTGATGAGCCATGGAGTTAACATATGCACTCTAACAAGGAGCAATTTGAAAATTGACTCGTGGATCGTGGCAATGGGTCACGTGGAACTTAGTTTGAGGGGGAGACCAGTGAATCATGGTAGTGGACCACGTGGAACTTAGTTCGAAGGGTAAATTGTTGGATGTGCGAACAAAGTATCACATTGATAACTGACAAGATTGAGAGTCTACATATAAGGTTTAGATCTCTTGATGCTGTGAGACATTTCGAGGAAAATCGTGTGTACTAGGCCCAAAGAGTATAATATCCCAGTGAGAAACTCAAAAATAGCCAGATTTACAAGTGGTCATTCAAAAATAGCCACAGTTCCAAAAGTAATCGAAATTTAGCCACTTTTCATGTAAAGATAATTCTGAACGAAAACACTGTTCAAAATCTGGAAAAATACTCCAGTATATTATACTGGAGTTCCAGCATAAGTATAATGGAACTCCAGTATATTTTACTGAAATTCTAGTATAATATATCGGTCCAGCATAATATATTGGAGATTGGAGCACCGGTGCTCCAATCTCCAGTATATTATACATGAACTTTTCGCGTGTTGGAGTTCCAGCATAATATGCTGGAAGTTTGTATACAGCCATACAG